TCTCTCTCTCTCTCTCTCTCTCTCAAAATCAAACACAACCCCAAATAACATTCTACCAAGGGTTGCATTTTTAACCTTTTGATCCTTCATTACCCACTTAAAGTTACCAATATGGCCTCTGCTGTAGTATGAGTTTCTTTATCATCTTGACTTTGCTTCTGCCACCCACCTGCACCTTTTACACTTGAAGGGGGGTTTACATACCTGTAAAGATCGTAACCAGCAGCAAGAGATGAACCTCTCGCAGGCAAACTAGCTATCTCCGATAGCTTCTTAACTGTAAAAAGAGGCGAGACTAATGAAAGGGGAACTTCTTGTGTTTGTTAGGCTTCTCTTACAACAATTAAGGGACGAGACTAATGAAAGGACTTCAGAGCTTGAAATGGTTGATTAGGTTCATTTTCAGATACGAAATCTCCGATGACGCCATAGTGAGGAGGAGTAAGATGTATGGTTGCTTCCCGTGAGAATGGAGTTCGGTTTCTTAAGCCCCGACGATTGATATCTTGAATACCCAAATGAAACCAAGAAAGAACAGGGATAGGGGAACCAAAAATTGAAGTCTAAACGGGAGATGGGTTGCTGAATCGATTAGGTTCATTTTCAGATACAAAATCTCCCCAACAACATTCATTGTTTATTTCACATTATCAGATCATCCCCAATTTCTGATCTCCACCAGTAGATATCATAGATATCTAAAAAAAACTCTTTGTTTTGTCTTTTTCTTTGTATCACAATTGACATTCGTATGTTCAAATTTCCCTCATTCACTGAATAATTGGTGAATGTGGTCATTGTTAAATCATGTAGTCAACGTGTTCGATGAAATGCTTATGTGGTTTCTTGCAGTTGCATAAGGATCTACAAACAACTAAAACATTAAGATGTATGGTCGGAAGGCTTATCAACTCGTTAAAGAATTCACAAACAGCGAATCTAGGCAGCTCACCACGATGAGAGGTCAAAAAAATGACGAACATGGGTTATTGATCCAGAGCTCTTGGGTATAGGAAAGGTTATTCTTTGGAGCATTTTGTCGAACACCTTGTATGCATGACTCATATCCATTTTTTTTTCTAACATGTTTGTTAAAAAAGATTTATAAGAAAATGATGGAGAGAGAGAGCCTTCTTATTATTTTAATTATTAAAATAAATAAATTAGTATTAGTTTTAAGAAAATGAAAGAAAAATGAAAATAAATACCTTAAGGGTATTACAGTCATTTCATTATTCAGAGGACCAAAATCACAACAAAACTAGGTCAAAAGGACCATAAAACCAAAAAAGTCGAGGTTTTGACTAAAACCTCAAAAAAATTAATACCATAGGGACCATTTTTGCAATTTTGTCTAAAAATTGCTTATGTATTTTTAATATATAAATAAATATACACAAAACCCAACATTAATCTTCATCTCATCTCTTTGTTGTAGCTTTTTTTATTTCCCTTCAAGCAAGATTAATTTGAAAGAAACCATTGAGAAAAAAATTTCTCCCAAACAACGACTTTGGTTACTTATTTGATTTGTCTTTTTTCCATCTGTATCAAGACTTCTATTCGCATCGCATTCACTGTAACCAAGAATCAAAGCCAGGTACCAAATACTTTTTAGTAGGTCGATGAATTAATTAAAATAATTTTTTTTTGTAGTTGTTGATTGTTTGTTGGTGTTCTATTGAATCAACTACAAAATTCTAAATATTTAATTTTGGTTGAATAAATGGTTAGTTATGTTCAATCGGTTGTTAATTATTTCAATGGGGGAAAATAATAAAATTAAGTTCATAGAAGCGAGAAGGAAGAGATGAGAGAGAAGAGATGCCTGGTGATGAAGGAGACGAGAATGGAACGGTTGCATAATGGTGCAGGTGATGGAAGATGTAAACGTGATGAAAACATAAAAGGGTATTTGTGTCCACAATATCTTATACCATCATCCTTTTGGGTGGGACTAAAAATAATACCAAACACCACCTAAAATACCACCTAAAATGATTTAGTTTTGTTATGTTTTGTCTAGTTCTACTCACCAAATGTTGGCTAAGGTACAAACACACCGATTTATTTGTGAGTTATTTGAGATCGATTCAGGCTTTAGTTAAATGAGTTCAAGCCGAGTTTGAGTTTAGTTTCAGGCTTATTTATTAAACGAGCTCGAGCCCGAGCCTCATCTACCGAGTTCGATTAAGTTTGCTAGCCTATGCATATTTATATATATAACTTTTATTTTTCATTTTATATATTAATTATAAATTAAATATTAAATATCAAATATCAAATATCAAATAATGATAAACGAGCTTTTTAACAAGCATAAAAACACAAATGAACTTTATATTTGACAATAACCGAGCCAAGCTTAGGCTCATTTAGGCTCGCCTGACGCCCAAGTCGAGCTCGATTTGAAGTAGATTTGGAAAAGACAACGTGCAAAATGCAAAATGAGCCAAGACAAGGGGGGGTAAGTGAGTAAGTCATCGTGAGCATTAAAACAATACATGGATAAGTTAAGATACAAGGATATGTGCATGAAGTTTGTATTAACAATACACAACAACAACATAGAAAGGTGTGATGCTACCCGTTTATATGTAGTCGCACAACGTCCTATCTAAAGTAAATACACAACTATTATTACTAATAACTACAATAACCAAATAAGAAAACTATTTGAACAACTAATCGTAACATAATATTTAGCAACCAAAAGGTAAAGTAGACTAATAAATAAATCTAGTTTGCTTCAAGTGTTATTATTCATGTGAGAACATTAGATATATATGTTCTATTCAAATTAACCTGTGGTTAGTCTACTTTAATGAATAAATAAGTCACCTCCTCCTCCTCCACCCCACCCCCCACCCACACACCCACCAAAAACTATTGCAAGAACCTAAATTTTCATCTATTACCTATTTCTCTCTTTA